GTGTACCGTCATATGCATTGCATTGCACTCATGCATTTGTTCCTATTTGTATTATTTGTCATGACATTCCAGCACTCGCATTTCATTGGCTTCTATGCTACTTCTTGCACTGCTTACCTGATACCCTGGTGTTATTTGTTAATGGAGTGCTGTGCCCGAGGGGCTGACTTTTGTGCTGACTTGCACTATCTGTTTCGCATTCATTTGCTTAACTGTTGGAAAGAGATATTCTCAAAAGAGGTTTTAAACTGAGTCAAGATATTTCTAAAGATTTTCACGGTTTCACTATTTTTCTCAAAGGGTTACACTGTTCTATATAGCATGATGGCTTGCTTTACGTGGTTTCTTGCTGCTCAGTTATTATTTACCTTTATTACTCACTGAGTTGGAGTATTCACTTACTCCCTGCACCTCGCGTGCAGATGCAGGTATTGGTTTACCCGGTAGCGGGTTTGAGCTGGTTAAGGATTGGCTATCGTAGCTGAGCAAGGTGTCCGCCAGCGTTCGCGGCACCGGACTTCTTTCTTTTAATTCCAGATTTTTATTCTATGTATTACAGGCTTTGTAGTTGTATCGAAAATTCTTCTAGATGCTCGTGACTTGTGACACCCCGATTTCGGGCTGAGTCGGGATGAGATTTCCTGTCTATGATTCAGACTTATTCATGCTAAGTAACTGTTAAAAGAGGCGTTGTTGTTCTGTTGGCTGGCCTTGTCTTCACGAGAGGCGCCATCACGACCGGGTTTGGGGAATTGGGTCGTGACATCTCTATGGTCACATTTTCTAAGCGTGGCACAATTGTGTGGTTAAGAAATTATTTTTGCCTACATTAAACTCTGTATTCACATTTATTTCAAGTACATACATTATGATCTCAAGCATCAAATTAAATAATAAGTAACAGAATAAAAATAATTCAAATACATATACTTGAAATAAACTTCAACAAAAAATATAATTTGCATAGTACTATACCCATACTAATAAAGCACTACTACTTCAAGAAGTTCACTAGCAATGAACTATTCAAAACCGAATGTTTTTATAACAATAAACGTCACTATCGTTCAAAAAGTCTTCATCATTCGCGTCAATAGGTCAAATTTATTTGTGGCCACCATTTCCAATTACATCATCCGCATTTTCCTATACAATCAAAATGAAATTAAAAATTAGAAAAAAACCTATATATAGTATGCATTGGTTATAACAACATGTATTATTAATAAGTATCAAAAACCAAAAGCTAAGTATCAAAAATTCTTTTCATGAAGAAATAAAAGACATTGTTAAGAGTCTTTGTAAATCCCAATTAAAACAACACAATTGCATGATATGTATGTTAAAGTTAAAATTGTGTATTTATAACATCTGTAAGTCATATTCATGAACTGCTTTTAGTATAGGTTCAAAGACAAAAAATTTATCTCCTTGTATAATCGCAAGGATCACTTAATTTAATAACAATAGCAATTAAACTAGCTAGAAAATAGACAGATAACAAGGGCCTTCCACTGAAACACTAACATATTTCAGTGGAAAACATCTAATGAAGAGAAATTATATTGATGGTAGATATCAAACAGAAGCTCGCTAACCAAAATTGAATTCTTTCCATAACCAAATACCTTAACTAGATCGTGTTTCACTGAAAAGAGCTAATAGTTTCGTGTGGTAAAATTTGGCACCAACTGATGCTTTGTTAACAAAGAATCACGTGTCTTTTTCTTTTAACAAGAGGAAAATGAACTTATTTTGCAGCCATTATTATTGCCGCTAAATCGAATATTTATTGCCGCTAGAATTCTTTTTGTACTAGCGTTATCATATAACAGAACCATCAAAAGCAAATAATTTGGGAAAACATGATTTTGTAAGTTAAGATTGAGGTAGTTTTTTGAAAGTGTGAAATATAAATACCTTTTCAAGATTCGGAGCATGAGTTGAGCCAGAAGAATGTGGTAGATTTTGGCCTCTTATAGCTCGTGCACTACTTGCATCAACCGGTGAAGGAATATTAGATCTAGCACATCCTTGTATGTCATGAAAATTCAGTTCATTGTTGTTTTGCACCACTTGACTAAGAAAAGATTGCATTTCTTCTCTCAACATTTCCTTCATTTCTTGTTTCAGAGAAGTCATTTCATTGGCATGTTTTTGTTTAAGCTTGGTGATTTCTTCATCTTTTTTCAGAGAGCTTGTCGTCACCGATATGCCATAGCATCTAACCCGACCAGGCTGCTCCTTTCCAACCACAGCCCTAAATGCATCATCTGCTGTCTCTCCGGAACTTTGACAATTCTGAAGTTCAGACTCTGAAAAAAAAATATTACTGCACATCACTTACAAGTCAAGATAGATTGAATACTAAAATAACTTAGACTAACTTTTATTTTTCTTACAAAAGACATGAAATATTTTCAGGGGTTGTTGTAGACTATTAGCCTTCACAGCATCTGATGCGAAGAGAACTCACAGGTAAGTCATAAAGGCAAAGGGAAGGTGATGCCTTTCTTCCAGGTCTTTTCTTTTATTGTTGGATTTGAAGTTTCATTGTATATGTAATGTATGTTAATTTTGGGTTAAAATACTCTTTAAACAGTGCTCATGTTGCCTTACCGTGTTATTATAGTATAAACTAGTGGAGCTTACAAATATTCCTGGAATTGCGAACAACTGTACAGGTTAAAACCAGAAACTTAACAAAGTTTAGACTACTTCAATAACACAAGAATTCATTAATCTCCTGTACATACTTCATTCAGTTATACTCGATGCTATAAAGTTGCGGTTAGTTTATAAGTACACATATAACATCCCAAAAAGGTTTATCAAACATAGCTAGATGGAGTTATCTCCTAATGAAACTAGGACAACAACAACAACAACAACCCAGTGTAATCCCACAAGTGGGGTCTGGGGAGGGTAATATGTACACATACCTTACCCCTATCCCGAGGGGCAGGGAGGCTGTTTCCAGGAGACCCTTGGCTCAAGACAGCAACAAGAGACTACAAACTGAGACCAATAAGATAATTGTAATTTGCAAAGTATGCTCTCTCACTAGCCAGTATTTCCAGAAGTAACATAACCTATACTACAACTGCTTGTAAAATTCTGTTTTTGCATAAAATGATAAAAGGGATTCATTAATGAACCTTTCCCAAAGATATTTTCCAAGACAATTACCTAGATCGAGAGAATAGTTTGGGTGTCAATATATAGCGAACATATGATGTCAATATACAGATAACAGAAGTATTATTACCCAGCAAATTGCAGCTTTGCCAATCCACATTTTGGCTCTCATGACAGGTTTTCTAGGTAATGATAACTAATTAGAAATTCTACCATACAATTGACTACTGTTCTGAACCGATAACCAATTACCTCAGTTCTGCAGTGTAGTTATAATAGAGTTCCATGGGATTTTTCATTGTCTGAGAGGAAACTACAATTTCACTAATTTGTCATTAGATTAGTGCAAGATATAAGCACCAGACACATATACAAAACTGCATTTATTAGAAATATATGGTTTTAATTAAAAAGCTGAAACTTTAACAGACACACATTCAGTTAACGAGAGGGACTATATAATAACAAGATCTTAACTTTTATCATGACTTACTATTGCAACTTGAGTATCTGTATGAACTTCTTTTCCTTTCTTTGTACGAGTTGCAATAAGCATTTCGGACTTTGATGGTTCCTCGTTGTTCTCTTTGGTTGCACGCTACAAATTAAATCAAAAGAAAGTAAAAAATAAACATTAGTGTGTTCCGACAAAGAAAATGGAAGTCAAAATTTTCATAAATTGTCGAGTAAAAGCTACCAATGCTACGCGTATTCTTCCAAAATTAATAGGTCCCATTCGATGCCTCCACTTTTTTTTTTTTCTATTTTCAGAATTTAATTGGCACATGGCCTAGCACCAAAAGAAGTACATTAGTCAATAAATCAAAAAGAAAAAAAAGATATAATGCAACAATATGTTCAAGTGTAGAAATGCACAATTTAATCTCACTTGGACATCTGAATCCTTCCAATACTCAATCAATTGGCGAAATTGAACTTCTGGTATCTCATTCGGATGATTTTGTAGCATGTCTTCGTCAGTAGCATTCTTATTGAAATATTTCATCTTAATATTTCTCTTGTGTCTCCTCCAAGCATCACGAAGACCGGTCATTACCCACTTCTCTCCTTCTGCTGGAATTATGAACTTGGACTATGCAAAATACGTATATTTAGCTTCACTTAGTAGGAAATATACAAAAAAGTATACATTAAAAAAATTGATTGTTCTTACATTGACATATTCCCACATTCGTCGCTTAATATCCTGTGACACAGCATGCCAACTAGTATGCACCAAGGTGATAAATCTTGGATTTCTTGCAATTGTTCCTATAAAGTTAGTCAAATCAGACATTCTCTTGTCAGTTGGTCCCACTGCTTGTCCTTTGTCAAATATCACCTCCTCTCTTTCTTCAAAACTTCTTGCATGAATATTCTTACATGTCGCTTGCCCTCGAACTCTTTTCTTCTCTAATATCCCTAGATTAATGTAACATCATGAAATAAGGGAAAAGTTACAATATGTAAAAGAATTACAAATTTTAAGACATACCATCTGCAGCACTATCAATGTTTACATCCTCATCTCTAACAAACTCATCGTCACCAACTCCTGCTTGTGCATCAAAATTATCCATTTCTATTTCATGCTCATCAACAACAGGGGATGACATAAATCTGACTTCATCTACTGGTTGGATATTAGGAGAATTTTCACCACCAACGTGTATCCCATATTTTTTTAGAAATTGATTTATACTCGTCGACGGTAGGACCGAGTTTGTCTTTACCTTTTTACAGCTTTGTTGCTCCTGAATATCAAGTTGTTTCTCTCCTTCACCTTGTTTTCTTCCACTCATACGTAAAGTGTTAAGATCTTTCTTTGAAGATGACTGGAGCATGGATGTGTGCACAGGTAATTTATTCATTCCTTGCTTTTGAATTTGCTCCTCCAATTGAACTAACCTCTGTTTACTTTGTCCTCTTATTGCAATGTTATGTGAAGTGTTCAGATCTTCC